GGAATCCCTGCCTTATAATGGAGAGGAGTAGGGCAGGTGAACTGCACCTTCCCCAGGAGTGGGGTGCACCCATGCGGGCTGGTGTGTGCTGAGGCTGGGCTCTGGGCATTTCAGGACCCAGGTCAGCGCCCTCCTGCCTCTGGCAGGGCCGGAGTCCACAACCCCGCCTCTGTCTGTCTTGCACCATTCTGCAACTTGATGCCTACGCATAAAAACTAGAGGGACTCATCCCAGAGTTTGCTGCTGCCGCCGCTGCTGTTAGGTTTTAATTAGCTGCAGGATTTTAATGAGCTGAAATCAAGAAGAACCCCATCTCAGAAGCAAGCAGGAGCCACACACACGGAAGAACTTGTCTGACAAAACAGATGGAGGTGGCGTTCTCAGGGGACTGGGCTGTGTGCTCCATTTCAGTGAGGAGCAAATGAGTTCCTGAGGCCAGGACGCTGAGCAGGGAAGGCAGGAGGTCAGCCCCATCGCAGGAGGCTTGTCAGGGGCGGAGCAGAGGTGCAGCCCCCTCTGTCGCTGCGGTGGAATGCTTGGTGCCGGATTCAAGGTGACGGCAGTGCCTGGCTCCATTCTCCTCAAGTTGCCATAGCAGCCTCTCTCCCGATGAGCAGCTCCTCCTGGAGCCCTCAGCCGGGAGGGACGTCATTGTTCGCTCCTGCCCGTGCACGGAGGAGACTGACTGGACAGAGAACTTTCTGGGGCCCAGGGTCCACACACCAAGTGGGTGCTCCCAGGAGCACAGGGCCGGACGCCTCTGGCTGCCTCCAGTGGGGCACGGGAGCAGGTCCTCACAGCCCGAGGGGGTCTTCTGGGTGACTGGGGGAAAGCATCCAGGCCTTGGAGCAGCCGCAGCCAAGCGTGTCCTTGGAGCCATCCGTCCATCGCCTGCCGGCCTGTCGCCACTGGAGGTGCGTGCGTTTTGGCTGAATTCCCAAGTCCTTGCTTATGCCCTAAAGTGAATTTTCCCGAGACAAATTTTTAAATCGGATAAATAAGGAAATGGGAGGAATCCTTGGCCCTGACCTGTGTCCCAGGAGGTGTTTGCAAAATTAATTGCATTTTTTTTTCCTTAGAGTAAAAATTGGTGATGCCATTCAGGCCTCAGGGAGAGCACGCCACTGGGAAAACTAGGGATTGTGAAGACAGGACCTTCTGAAACTAAGTGGGCTGTTTATTTTTCTTGCCTTACTCCTCCTCACTCTGCCCTCAGTTACTTGAATTTTCTTATTGTCTGTTGGTCCTGGAAGAGAGGCAGGGAGGTGGGGGGTGGGGGGGACTTGTCAGGGGAGCCGAGTGGGATGCTGTGCACTATAAGGTTGTAACAGTCCCAGGTGGGAGTGGAAGACTGTGAGTATGTCTACGGGGCCCTGGGCAGCCTGGCCCGGGCCTGTGACAGATCACGGAGTCCACTCCCCCTACAGCAACCCAATTCCCAGGAGACAAGCCGCCTTGGACCAGCATCTCCCCGTTGCCTTGAAAATAACATGTGACTTTGAAGACAAGGACCCTCATGGGAACAATAGAGGATCAGATACACACACTCCCTGGAGTGTCGGGTGATCGCCTATCTACCCTTCACCTTTAAAGGAAGGAGGTTCCTATGGGTTCTATGATGTTGGCCCCCTCCTGGAGCGGTGAATACCCAGCCAGCCTGCAAGCCAGTTACCCAGGAGGGGAGGCACGTTAACCTTTTGATTCCATTTGCACATAGCAGGGAGTTGGCTGATTAGATGGTCTGCAGTGAGAACTAAACACTGAGAGGAAGGCGTCTGAGGGGAATGCTGGAGTCTGATGCTTAGGGAGGGTTCAGGGAGAGCCACGCCTGCCTCTAACGCCAGCTTCCCTGGGCATGGAGAACAGAGAGGGTACTGTATTCTCCTGGACATCAACAAAAGGGAGGGTCTCTGAGACCAGACACTTGGATGGTTGATGCTCCCGCTGTGGTGAAGGTGCAGGCCCTAGGGCTGGTTTTCTCCCCCTAACCCCCGCCCCCCAGATTGGGGGTCAGGGATGTGGTCCTCATCCTGGCTCCCAGGCACGTAGGCTGCTGGAGGCTGGCTCCGTGTTGGGGGTTGGGTTGGGGTCAGTTCAGAAACAAGTGAGGACAGGTCACAGCTGCAGAATGGGGGAAGTCTGTATTGGCTTGGACTGTGACAGTGAGACAGTGACTGGGAGTGGGAGGGGACTGGCCGGTCCTTCCAGAGCCACTTCGGCCGCGCCAGCTCCTGCAAACAATGCAGTGATGATAGTATGTTCTTCTGAGCCACCCCCGACAACCTCCTTTTTTTCCATCCAATAGAGCCTTTGCACCAAGATCGCGTGGCACTTTATTAGCTGTTTTACCGGGCAGCCGTGGGCCCCAGCCATAAAGTGGCCACTTTCTTTCCCTTCCTTCCTTCCTTCCTCTCTCTTTCCCTCACCCTAGGTCAGATGGACCTCCTGGCCTCGTGTCTGACCCAGGAGGCCCGTGAGGCTGCAGGCAGCATGCGACCACCCCAGCCCCGCACATCAGGGCTTTGTGGTACTTTCTTTACAGCTTGTGGCCTTGGTGGGGACTGTCAATGGTGTGTGCGCGCATGCTCTGTGTGCATACGTGTGTGTATGTGTGTTAGAGCCCGTGCATCTGATCTGGAAGGGCCTTGAGCTCTCTCCCCTGTTCCCTAGCTAAGGGTCTTGTCCCTGCCGAATCCGTGTGTGTGACACTTTCCCACTCTTCTGACTCCTTTCCATGGGGGTTAACCAGTGGGGGGTTAAGCCAAGTGATTTGGGACAGGAGGCCCTCTGCCCCCCACCTTCCCCCAGACCTCGAGGCTGGCCCTGCACACAGGGCCTGTCACTGGGAGACTGAAGGACACAGTGTTGAGAGTGACCTTGTCCTTCAGTGGGGCCTGGGACCTGCACCACTGCATCTGTGTCTTTGCAGGATGTCGAGCCAGGCACTGCCCCCCAACCCCTCACCCCCCACCGCCAGGACAGTCCCATCCTGGGCAGCCACAGAGGGAGATGCCACAGAGCCCCACAAGGGACTTCAGGGTTTGAGCCTTTGGGGACATGCGGCTGCCTATTTTTACCCACTGCAAGCCCCCTGCAGTGGTGTCCCTGGTGATGGCGGGCGCAGCTGTCTTTCTTTGGGGCGGGGGCCATTGCCAGGAGGTCAGGGCCAATGGAAATTGAGCCAGCTCCAGAGACAAAACAGCCCTCCTCGGTGCTGCCTCCCAAACATAAGAGCTGGGAGGTCGTGGGAACTACCTGCTCAGCACAGCCCAGAGAGCCCTGCACTCAGACGTGTTCCCCTGCATAGAGGCCTGGGGCAGGTTAATTAAAGTTAACTGAGTGAAAACATAATTACAGAGACTGCAGAGGGGAGAAACCCAAACCTGCAATTTAACACTCAGTCTCAGAGCTTTGCTGAGAACAGTCTAGACCTTGGGAATTTTTGTCTGGGCTGGGGAGGGAAGGATTCCTCTGACTTCTGCCTCATGCTCCCCTAGGAGCATGAGTTCACAGAGGGACAGGAGCTGGGGCTTCCTCCCCCAGCGCCTTGGTGCCTGGTCAGGAATGGGTTCCTCGACCACAGTACAGTGCCCAAGGAGACTCCAGGCGGGGGAGACTCCTTGTGCCAAGCAGCACATCTGGTCTGGGGATCTAACCACCCACCTGTGATCTCAGAAACTGCCCACCTTGTCTCAGCCTCCTTTAGAGCTGTCCTGTGTCAGGGCGGAGGAAGCTCCCGCAAGGCCTTTGGATAGAGAGAGGATGGTTTCTCTGCCCAGACTAGTAGGAACGGGGGGAAACCAAGGGGACAGAGCGGCCTTTCTCTAAAGGTGGGGGGGGGAGGGTTCTGAAATCCCTGCCCGTCCAGCATGACCTCCTGTGCAAATCCCTCTTCAGCACCTGTTCCACTCCACCCATGTCACACCCCACTGCAGGATCTTACCTCCTTCCTATGAGCAAATGGCCTCGGGCTGCCCCCATCTTGACCCACAGCCTGGCCCAGTTGGAGTCACTCGTTGGTATATGGGGTGTTTGGCGTTTCTGGCTCTGCCCTTCAGGAGGAACCGGGGTGAGGGGCAAGTCACCTGGGCACGCTCTGGGTCGGCGGTGACGGGTGCCCATCGGCAGGAACACAAGGGAGGTTGTCACCTGCCTCTGAGCCTGGGATCTGTCAAATGTGGGTCTGGCTGCCTCAGCTCCAGGCCCGAGGGCCTCAAGCATGGGAGTAGCTTGGTCTGGCCAGAGCTTCAGTTCCCTGTGACAGAGCTGACTAGCCGGTGGGGTCTCTGTTCTGCTAGCCCACCCATCTGTCAGGGAGACACAGCCCTGGCTGGTGAGAGCAGCCACCAGGTGGGGGATTCTCTGCCCCTGGCAGCCTCTGGGCCTGGGAGGCGCCTTCCCAAAGCATCTGTAGGGATACTTGTCCCCAACACCCTGCAGAGAGGAGCCAGGGCAGAGAGATCCAAGAGATTCTCTGTCCACCAGGCCACTTGTAAGGGACAAGGACCCAAATTGCTGGGCCTGTACCTAGACCCCCTATAGGGACCTATAGGGACACCAGTTCTTCTGGAAGCTCGGAGTGCCTGGACAGTGCAGGGGCTGATACTGGCTGTGGGTCTCTGGGAGCCCACCCTGGGCTCCCCCAGGCAGAGTCCAGAGAGTATCCCCCTGGTTTTTCTGGGGGTGCAAATACAGGAGACCCTGCTGGGAAGCTGGTGTCCCAGCCACAGGTGGTGACTAGACCTCCCTCAGCCTCCTGGGGTTGGAAAAGTGGAAGGGAAATGCCTGAGTAAGTTCTAAAGGACGGAGGGGTCGGGGATCATGCTTGGTCGCAGGCAGTGACTGGGGCCTCAGCCTGCACGGGATGTCTTGTGTCTCGGTGATGGACCCTCTTTCTCCCCGTCTGCCCCGTAGACCGTGCCCTGATGGATGCATGGTGTGGACGATGAAGGAAGAACGCACCTCCCACACCCGAGAGGTGACCCCGGAGCAAGCCCCGGATGACCGCACGAGCCGGAACCATGCGGCTGGCCTGCATGTTCTCATCCATCCTGCTGTTCGGAGCCGCAGGCCTCCTCCTCTTCATCAGCCTGCAGGACCCCACGGAGCTCGCCCCTCGGCAGCTGCCAGGTGAGCCCCTGCGCTGGGCCCTGCTGCCCGGGCACCCCAGCTTTCCTGTCCAAAGGGCAGGCCTCCGTGGCTGCCCTGGTGCCTAGTCTGTGCCCAGAGCCCCGGCAGGCAGAGGAGGGGGCCTGACCTTCTCCTGGCGGGCATCAGCCTCTGGCCTCTAGCCTGTGGTCTCTGGCCCGTGCCCTCCTCTTGAAATGATAGCCAGGCTCTCATCCACTTGTTGCCTTTGGTGAAGCTGAGGCTTAAGGAGAATTCTGCCATCTCTGGGTGGTCTCTCCCATGTGGTCTGGGATATCAGAGGGTGAATGACTTCTCCTTGAGCTCATGCCCCTCCATGGGACTCTGCTTCTCTGCCAGCCCTGGGACCCCTCGAATCCAGGCCCTTTGGCCTGGGCAGAGGGGGTCAAGGTACCTCCTGCCTTTGTGAGGCTGAGATTGCTCCTGCTGGCATCCACATGCTGCCTGCATCCCACGTGTCCCTCGTGAGCCATGGAGGGGAGCGCCCCTCCTGATTTGCAGAGATCTGCTGAGGACAGGTGGAAGAGAAAGTGGAAGGGATGGTTCTGGAGCCTCAGGTGGGCAGGATATGGAGAGGGGGAGCTCAGGCAAGGAGCCTCATGCTGAGACCCAGCCCCCACTCATCTCTCAGTGGCGGGCCTGGGACCTTTAGTGGGGAAGTCTGTGAAGATACCCGTGTGCTCCAGGACACAGACAATATGGAAGACGAGTAGAGACTGTGGGCTTAGGCAGATAAATTCCTGCACCAGTTTGCAGAAGAGCAGGGCCCTGCATAGGGCACCTGGCCCTCAGAAAGGGGGGGCCCAGGTACTTGGGCCTACAGCCCCCTTCTCAGCTCTGGCTGGCTCAGCCATCCTACGCACAGACTGAAGGCCTGTAGGCATCAGATGGAAAGTCAGAAGGAGCACCAGGAGGCTAGAATGAGGCCTGGCAGCTGCTACCAGAGGCCCCAGGTGGGGAGGCGGATGAGTTCACTCTTTCATCAAGAATCAGCAAGAGGTGGCCAAGGTGGTGGGACCCCAGGAGACAGCAGGTGAGTCACTGGGACTGACTCATGCCTGGGCCAGGCCCTCAGGGATAGTGGCTGTCAGAAGCGGGTTTAGGTTCTTCCCAGCTTGTGGAGAAGCAAGGATACTGCTTGCTTCTGAGCTGGCTCCTCTGTGGGGACTTTACAGCCCCATGTGAGCTTTAGAGTAGCTGGTGGCCCTGTGGCAGCAGAACCTGGCCCTGTAGGGTAGGGCTATCAGGCGGGCTGAGATCAGACCCCCTAGGTGTAGGGTTATCTGTGCTGAACAAGGGCCCTTAAACGTCGCTTGGGGTAAATAGTGTATCCTCAGGGTGACCCCTGGAACTGTGGTGCCCATTTTGGTGTGTGTTGTGTGGTTGCGGTGCACGCACGGGCAGCGGGTCCTTGTGTTCAGGGTCTGCGTTCTGTGGGATGAGCCTGGGAGAGAAGGCCCGTGTCTGTGAATGGCGTCCGTCTGGCCAGGGGTCATGCACTCAGCTGTGGTACACTGTAGGGAGATGCTATATCCCTGGGCAGAGCTGGGGCCTGGTGGCCCGGACCCGCACCCCGCCATGACAGTCAGCCGGCAAAGCAGAACGCTTGCGCTTTGTGACTTCCGGCCCCTCATGCCAGCCGGCTGTCCCTGCGCATGCGCCCCCGGCCAGCTGCACCTGCGCATGGCCTGTGGATCTTCTCCATTACTCGTGGGGCCAAACCCCGGAGGACCTCTGCGATTTCCAGGGTGGAGTGGCGAGCTGGGGAAGGAGCTCCGAGCCTCCGCAGGGCGTGGGGAGTGCCACGAAGCTTCGGTGCGTATTTCTCCCTGCCGTGGGGACGGCATGGGCGTGGCTGACTGGTGCAAGGAGCATACCTGGGGCTTGAGGCAGGTGGGTGTAATGGTGTAAATGGAGCTGGACCACCTGCGCCACGTGACCGGGGATGGGCAACCTTGACGGTCTACGTAAATCACATCAAACACAGTCATAAAACTTTAAGTAATGCTTATGTTACTTTCCCTGAGCAAAGTGTTCCTGACACAGGCTGTTTGTGTTGATTTGTTACTATTCATTTATTCTTTCCCTGTACTTCTCACAGAAGCCTAATTGTGATTCGGTACCAAGAAAGCAATATCAAAGTAATTTTCCACAACATTAGTTACAATTTTCTTCTGATCTTTCAAGTGAAACAATCCCATCCTGTTGGCTTCTCTGAGCATATAAACCTTGATTACATTTATCTGTTGGAAACCAGTGCTTACAAAGTGTATGTATCCAGTTGCATGCGTGGGTGGCCCCAGGGGCCTGGACAAGCCTTCTCCCTGTGGATTTCTGCTGGTGGGAGGTACAAAGTCAGGAGGCTGCCCTGTCAAACAGATTGGGGAAGGCCATTGGGGATGCCGCCTGGAGAGGGAAATTCCGCATGGGCTACTAGGGCTTTCATAGCGTCAGCAACTTCCCTTGGAACTCAAGGTCTGGGAGCCACCGTTGGTGGCGTTGACCAGGGTGGGCAGGGGAGGGTGGGCAGGTGAAGATCCAGAAACAAGCCTGAGAGTGGGAGAAGGAGCCTTTGGTTGCTTGTGCTGCTCAGTTTTCTCTCGGGCAGTCATTAGGTGTTAATAGCATGTGAACTTCTCAGGGACCAGTCAGCAAACCTCACCTGACTGGTGCATCAGATGCAATCTTATGGGCTTGCCAACTTTTGTAAATTAAGCCATTTTTAAAAAATGTTTGCTATATTTTAAATCAGTCAAACTTTCTGGAATGTGAATAGCTGCTGGTTAACCTATCTCTCACCTAAAATGAGATTTTGGTGTGTCGTGTGTAACAGAGAATTCACGTATCCAATTATTTTCCAGTCTCCAATATTGCCAGGCCCCGAGGCCTCAGGAAATTCACACCCTGACCCAGGAGACTAGGCTTGCTCCTTCTTAATGTACAAGATGCAGAGAACAGACCAGAACCAGGAGTAATACATCCTGCTAGCCCTGGGGATACAGAAGACAGACTCCAGACGTGTGGCTGGGCAGACTGAAATTTTATGAGTGGCCTTTCTTTATGAACTTTTTATTATGGAGGGTTTGGAACACACACAGAGTAGATCTGACGAGCTCCGGGCTCCAGGCACCAGCGGGCTCTGTCATGGGGCTGCCCACGCCCACAGCCACTGGCACCTTCCTCCTCCTGACTTTTGAAGCATATACCAGATAACATGTCAGTTCAGCCATAAATACTACAATGTATTGCTTTTTTTAAGAGATAAGAATTCTTTAAAAAAAGAGAGATAAGAATTCTTTTTTTTTTAAACATCTGACGATTCTTTAATATCACCCAATATCCAGTGTTCAAATTTCTAGTTGCATCACAAATATTATCAATACCCTTATTTCCACTTTGTTTTATCCAGGATCCAGATTAAGCTTACACATTGCAGTTGGTGGTCGAGTCTTCTAAGTCTCTTTCAATGTGTAGGATTCTCTCCTAACCTTTGTTTTTCTCTTGCTCTTTATTAGAGGAAACTTGGTCCCAGGTCCTGCTGAGTTTCTCCCCGTTGGGGTTTTTGTTGATCGTATGTGTTTGGTGTATTTTTTTTTTAAGATTTTATTTATTTATTTGACAGACAGAGATCACAAGTAGGCAGAGAGGCAGGCAGAGAGATTGGAGCAAGCAGGCTCCCCACTGAGCAGAGAAGCCGATGCGGGGCTCGATCCCAGGACCCTGAGATCATGACCTGAGCCGAAGGTAAAGGCTTTAACCCACTGAGCCACCCAGGTGCCCTGTTTGGTGTATTTTAACATTGTTTTGTGCTCTTTGTATTTCCTGTAAGTTAAGCAAATCTAGCAGCTTGATCAGATATGGGTTTGGGGGATTTTCTTTTCTCTTTTGGAGATTTTACTTATTAGAGAGAAAACGTGCCTGCGGGCATGCATGAGTGGAGTGGAGGGGAAGGCAGAGGGAGAGGGAGAAGCAGACTCTCCGCTGAGCAGGGAGCCCGATGTGGGGCTCTATCCGAGGACCCCGGGCTCATGACCCAAGCCAAAGGCAGACACTTAACCAAGCGACCCACCCAGGTGCTCCTCTTTTCTTTTTGGGGGATGCACGTGTGATTCTATGTTCTTCCATCAGGAGGCGCACATCTGCCTGGCTCTCTCTTGTGACACCCGTTAGCCACTGCTGGAGCCCCCGGATCCATCCGTTCATTCAGGGCTGCAACTGCACAATGCGGTGTTGAGAGTTTATCATTCCTCCTTCATTCTTTTTTTTTTTTTTTAAGAATTTATTTATTTATTTGACAGCGAGAGACAGTGAGAGAGGGAACACAAGCAGGGGGAGCAACAGGCAGAGGGAGAAGCAGACTCCCCGCTGAGCAGAGAGCCCGATGCTGATGTGGGGCTTGATCCCAGGACTCTGGCAGGTGGTTAACGTCGAGCCACCCAGGTGCCCCTCCTCCTTCATTCTTTTAAGTGGGATGGATTTTGTTTTAATGGGGCAAGGTGAGTTGTTGTTAGTGACCCATGCAGCCAAAGTGATGGTGGATTGATTGGTTTATTCATTGGCAAATAAAAAACCATGACCTTATGATACAGATTCTGTTGCTAACACACTATAAATAGGTCTTTTTTCTTTCCTTCTTTACTTTTTTTCCCCTAGAGTGAGTTTTCTTAAAGCGGGGACACCCCATGTTTCAGAGACGTGAGCTCTTGGCTTTCCTGGAGCCATGGAATTGTGAATGGTGGAGCTGGGTTTGGGGATTATATAGGGGTGTCGAGGACGGAGGCAACCACAGTGACAGCAGGGGTTCAGGGGCCCCTAGTGCAGACAAAGGGACTGGACAGCCACCAGTGACCTCGTCAGCAACAGTCTTCCCGGGGCATTCCTTCCACAGCACAACGACATTCAAGGATGAGGGTAATAATCTGCTTTTTACCATGTGTCAGACCCTAGGCCAGGCACTTTGTATGTTTTAATACGTATAATTC